CTAGATTCCCAGAAGTGGAGCTGTTGGGTGAAAGGTTCATATGCATTTAAAATTTTGATAGGTACTACTCAGCTGTTCTCCAGAAGGCTATACTGATTTACATGCACAGATCCTTACCTGACCCGCATTGTCATTTATGTCTGCATAATATTTCATTACATAGACATACTACTTATTAGTTAACCATTGCCCCTTTAGGCGTGAGTATGTTATTTCCATGTCTCAGTTTAGTTGCCTAATCTTGGTACAGAAATCTTTGTCGACATTCTTGGACAGAAGTTGGATTCCTAGTGTAATAGTTTGATCAAGAGATACGTTTTTAAGGTTCTTGATACACATTAATGGTCGAAGTATTCTTTTAACTTCATTTTAATTCTTTAAAGGAATGAGTTTTATTAAAAATTGAGAAAAACAGGCACCTGGGTGACTCAGTTAAGTGCCTGACTCTTGATTTCAGCTCAGGTCATGGTCTCTGGATTCTGCTTGGGATTCTCTTCCTCCCTTCTCTGCCCTTTTCCCTGCTCTCTCTCAAACATTAAGAAAAATTTTGAGAACACCAGGTTTACAATACTGGCATTGGTGTTTTAATAACCAGGAAGTATCTCCAGGGGGTAGTTAGTATTCCATATACTGGTAAGAGTAGCTTTGGGGCTCATAATTAGTTGGAATCATAGCAAAGTAGAGAAATTAAGACTGGCATCTGGCAAAAAGACAATTGAACCTTTGAATAAATTTGGGTCTTTGTATAATGCAATGCTAATAATAAGACAGGCCTTAGGGGCCTTCTCACCTTACTGCTGTTTAGCCAATGGCACTAGTCAGGAAGGTATTAAAAGTCAGGGGGAAGGTAGCACCAGGGCGATCATTTTCAACCAGTTTTTTTTTTTTTTTATAGCTCCACATAAAATGTTGCTAAGTACTGGGGGGGGGTTGCATTATTAAATAAAATGTTGCTTAAGTAACACCTTGAAAGACGTTTTAGGAACTTATGTAAACACCTAGATAAGTCACTTATCTCTACTCCACTGGACTATAAGCTTCTTGAGGGCAAACTTACTCTGTGCTATATAAGCAACAATGCTGGGCATAAAGCAGATGCTGATTATTGCACAGCTTCTGTTAAACACCAAGAACTTAGACAAAGTGTTAGCTGGAAACTTCATTTGAGACAGAATCCACTGTAGGGCATTCCCGCTTTCAACCATTTTGTGGAGAGTAATAAACTCGACTAGGGTTTAGGGTTTGTCTACGAAGTTCAGCGTAGAGGTACCTGCAGAGAATTCTTGTATCCCAGTGTGAAGACAGTATTGGAAGATGCCAGGCTCCCCCGCCCCCCGCAATAGTCCTAGTCAAAAGCCAAATGAGGTTTGAATGGAACTTTTACATGAGGATTCTTAAGTTGGTCTTGGGCAAACAGTATTTTGGGGAAATACAATGGTGGACAAGGGGACTAGCCATTTACCCTTCTAAAACAGCTAAGTGATGGTAGTATATAAAGTTATCTGCAGCATGTTATAGCAGAGTACTTAACGGAATAAGGTCTAGAAGAACTTGAAAATTATTAAGAAACAAAATCTACAGAGGAACAGAAATGGCAATAAATAAGACAACCATAGCATGACACCATGAGAATGGTATCTAGTAAGACAAATATCCATTTGGGAGAGTAATGGCAGGTAACACCTGACTGGCAGGAAGTTCCTTTAAACCCAGTTAGGAAGTGGGAAGTGTATAAAATATAAGCTGAGAGATGACCTTTACGACCCATCAACGAGAGAACAGTAAAATTTTTACAGTGGAATGCCAAACAAGTTTTCCACTTGGATGATGTTCAGTTATGTTAAAAAAAAAAAAAA